CATACTCAGCAGCGGTGGAGCTCAAAGTATAGTCCTGTCTGTTAGCTTGCTGGACCAGATGATAGTGCACCCAAACAAAATCAAGACAATCCAGGTGCGGACTTTGACGGACACAAGGATCCTGATCATCTCATATCCATTACCATCCGGCCCGCAAGTCAGCATCGGACCAACAATCAAGTCCCTGAACAAGTTTAGGGCTAAAACAACTGCCTTTTCCCTATCAGTATGCTCTGAAAAACAATGTCGTCGAGTGGCCACTGCTGTTTGAAATGATGATACGGTCCTGATTGCTCCCCAAAATTTCTGAGAAATGCGTGAATGCCTGGTTAATATGTGTGTGTGTGTAAATGTAGTGATTGTCTGGGCTCTGGTTTCGACGAAGTATAAACGCTGATCACAATGCCGCTGGATCTCTCTCTTGTTTTCTTTTGCCTTCAGCATGTCAATGAGGGAGCTGCTTCCTATGCGAGCTTTGCTCAAAGAAATTGGTAGCAAACTGAATATGCCGGTAATTACTGACAGTCTCGTGCGCTCTACAGTGTTCGAAGACAACCAAGGCTGCTTGTCTCTTGTGAATGTTCCCAAAATGTCTGCGCGCAACAAGTATTTGGCATTGAAGTACCACTTCTTCAGGTCCAATATCGGGGAGTCGAAGGGCATCGTGGCCAAGTATATTCCGACTCTGGAACAACGGGCCGACATTTTCACTAAGGGTCTTCCGGCTCCACAGTTTGCTGTCATTCGGAAGCTCCTCATGGGATGGTAATTTACCTCAGCACTTTGCTGGGGACTCTCTCCTATCGTTTCTTGCTCCAGCTTCATTTCAGCTGTAAGGGAGTGCGACGGGATACAGCTTACAATTCAGCTTTACAGCTTTACAATTAGCAGGCTTATTCTAGAAAATAATCAATAACTGCTCACTTATTTGGAAATACAAACTTTACATCTCTTAGATCCCTAGACTAGTCAATGCACAATGGTATTGTCGCAATCCCCTGGTCAAGGACGGATTCGGCTCACAACGTCGAGAAGACTTTTTGTCAGGCGTTTCGGCCAAGCTGGTAGGAGGAGCCTCACTGGGTTGATGGGCCCTTCCGGTGCAGGTACGTGACTGTCAGTATTAGGCTCTGTACCGGTATGTCTTGCTCCTTCTCAACGCAACGTTTTGCTGTCAGGAAAATCATCACTACTCAATTCCATTGCCCGGTTCGAGAGCCTGGAATCGTTGCTTCGGGCTGTTTCAATGGGGGGTACTCTCAAGGCGGTGTCGGATACGTTCATCATGACTACAAAGTGATGCTCTTCGAAGAGCTTAGTGGCTTGGAAAACCTAGTGGTTGGTGCTTTGGTGCGGTTCAGAGATATCCGAAATGATGCCGCCATTCGAAACATGTGCATTCTCGTTGACGCTATGAAGCTCCGAAATTGTCTCGGGACCCCAGTCAAGCTGATGAGTTCGGGAGAAAGACGAAGACTCTCCATTGCTGTCGAATCTCTGAAGCCCTCCAGAGTCGTTCTGTTGGATGAGCCGCTCTCCGGTTTGGATAGTTCTGTCGCGCTCGAGACAATGTTGTTGCTGAAGTGCATCTGTTCATCAGCCGAGCAGAGAGATCTTTGAAGCCATCGATGACCTGATCCTAATGAAGAGCGGTAGATGCGTTTACAGCGGGTCGCGAGAGTTTGCTTTGGGGGCACTCGAAGCAACTTCTGACACCCAGCTTGTCAATCCCGGCAACCTGCTGATGGATCAAGTGAATTCTTTGGGTTTCAACCATATCGAGCCTGAAAAGTCAGACACTACAGACTTGTCCGATGGCTCATCTGCAGGCATGATGGAATCTGCTGGCGACTTTGAAGAGCTGGCGCCCTTCAGTCACCGCTTCCTGGCTTGCACCATGGTAACCTGGTTGTGTCTCCGTGATCGCACGTTGTTGTGGATGCTCTTTTTGTTTGTCCCTTTGGCTACCTTGTTCATGTCACTCTACAATGTTGGCCCATATACAGCGCCCCACGAAGCAATTGTGATGATTGTCATGCTCGTGTCTGCGCCGGCGGGCTTAGTGGTACAGACCACTGCAACCTCTCGGTTTTCCGCGCTTCTCCCGTTGGTCAACATGAAACGTTGCGGATTGTATAGCGGAGTCGAATACTCAGTCCAGTTGCTGTTTTTCTACACGTTCCTTTCCCTGGGAATGACCCTTGTGGTGTACACCAGCAGTCTACTTTGTTGGTTTGGTTGAGATATTGACGCCTGAAAAGCTGGTGGCGTCTCTGGCCATTGCGCTTGCACTGCAAATGACTTTGGTAGTTTACGGAATCACCTTGAACCTGCTTGTTTCCAGACCGGGTATGGCTGACCATCCGACGAATCTCAATCGGACTCGCGCTCTCAGTACTCGAAGGAGGTCTCTTGTTGACGAGATTCTTCATGTTCAATACCAGTACCGTACCGGTACGTAGTATCAAATCTGCTAAACCTTCAACCGCAAAACTGGCTTTCTTGATTGGAGAGAAATATATATTTCCCTACTCTAAACCCCCCCTTCACATTATATTTGATGCCAGCTGTCATAATATTATCGTACATGTACGATGACATACTGTAGTACCGAAGAGGTGCGCGGCTTGATTTTGTGTTGCGTGATTGAAAAGGGGTCTGGAATCCATCGGAAGCGGCACTCACTGTATCAATTCATTCGTGGTATCTTCTTTAATTCTTGAGAGACCCTCAAACGCACGCGATGTAATACATGTAATACGTACAATGCGTATTCTACGTATTCCCGTATAATACGTATTACGTATTCCCGTATAATACGTATTACACGTCCGGACTTCATTCGGCCAAAACTCTGTCGAGATAGAAGTGGCTGCTTATGATGAAGACGAGAAGTGTTACATGATGTTCAACAACAGACCGGTGTTGGCAAACCATTCTCAAATGCTGTAGTTCAGCTTTGAATTGGCACAAGCTGAACAGAAATCTAACCAAATCATCCAAATTCAAATCCATCATTTGCACAATTGACAGAAACTGACGATGTGATTGAGTGGGAGATGATCGTGTCTTGGCTATGGAAATTTGCCCGATATAGACAAGAGAAGAAGCGGATTTGTCTCAGCAGATGCTCATGCATTACCTTACGAAGACGAGGATCCCACAGAGGAAGATTGGGGGGAGAACTGATAGAAAAGCTGAAGGTTTTCCTGGTAGAGTCTTTCTTCTAAAAAAGGACTTATTTTTCGGTTACCACCTACAAACTAAAGCACATTTTGGGCAAATCACAAGTACGATAAGTGAAGTCGAGAATGCTGCAATGAAAGGGGATTCAATGGGTCCGAAGCCTTACCATGACATCGACTTGTCAAGCAAAGTATCGAGAAACGTAAGCAAGAAGAAACCGTGAAAAGAAATGGCGGCTGCCCATAATCTGACCGCAACACATACTGACATTGCAGAAAGAGAGTACATTGCAAGGTTTGCTAAAAGAGGCTAGCAGCAAGCTGATTCGGCAGTGGCAGGCCAGAGACAATTACAGTGCCTATAGACAGTCAGCAGAGAGGTTCTTTGTGAGACTCAATGTGAAAGACTCAAAGACCGAGGAAAATCAACAACAAAGTCACCAACAGAATGTAATTGCTCGCCGGAACTACGTCATTCCTGTCTTTGAAAAGACAAGGCAGGTAACCGTGGTGGTATCGGAAGGATGCAAGTTCCTGGTTTGTTCTTGTGGACACTGGACCGGCTACTCATTGCATGTCGTCATGTCTACAAAGTCATGGAGAGGAAACCAGTTGAAACTGATGCCAAAATCAGAAACTTCAAACTGTATCGAATGTATGTGGGTGATAAGAGATTCAACTTGTGCCCTGTGCTCAGGATTGTTGGGTCGAGTCCAAGAAAAGTGTAAGTTCTGGCTTCGGCATCCTCAGCTTCACCCATTTCCCTCTGACGTCGTTGTGCTTCGGCTTCTGCAGCTATCTCTGCAGCAACATTACCTGCGATACCATCATATCGCCTTTCACAGAGGTCCTTTCTTGAAGAAGTTCCACCTCCCACCGATCCATCTTCGTTTGAGGTCTAGAATGATTGTACATGCTAGGACCAACCTTTCGGACTTTGAAGGAGTTAGCACTTTCGGCACTACTCTGTGCAACACCAGGCTCAAAGCATTGGTGACAAAATGCTGACAGTCCAGGATGGTAGATAGGATGCGTGGTGATGGATCCATCTTCGTTTCGGCGCTTCGCGGTCATCGGAATGGCTTCTTGAATACATGTAACAAAGTTGCGGGGAGTGATTTGTTCGGGGAAAAAAGGACCAGGATTGTCAGGGCCAAAGGGAATCCCCTCCTCAAATTCCTCAGCCTTCGTCTCTTCTGCATCATTCTCGTTTGCCCCTGACGTCTTGCGGACCAGATTCATCGTCAGAATCCACCATGATGCCTAACGAAAATACTAAACAAGAAAACAAAAATAGGTGAGACAACGAACACGGTAATACGTATAATACAGTAATACGTATAATACAGGTAATACAGTATAATACAGGTGATACTATAACACGGGTGATATGCATAATACAGTTACACCTGTTACGCGTATAAACGGTGATACATATAATAAACATTACATGCATAAACGTTACACCATAACACGTGTTACACGCGTAACATGTATAACACGTGTTGCGCGTGACTGAGGTACTTACATTGGTTCAGTACTGGTCCCTACAGAAAGTGGTTGACAATGAGAAATTCAAGGCCAGATCTTCCACAGGCTCGTCAGTGAGCCTTCAGAAGTATATGAATGCAAAGAGAATGGTCCTGTGGCTTGACAAAGCCTGATAAAGAGAGTGGGGGCAGGAGTATGAAGAAGAGTTGAATGAGAGAAATCCTTCTATCTTTCCACAGAAACAGTCTTCTTGGCTTCAACAAAGCCATACCACATTGCCTACTTACCCACAATGATGGTACTATCTTCAAATAACAACAGAAACCTCTGTATCCTTCAAACAAACAAGAGAAGAGAGGTTGTTGTCATGGGATGGTGTTCTTTGTGGTGGAGATTGGTGGAGATTGTGTTGAAGCCATTTTGCGAATGGTCATTCGAACGGCGTTACACGGGGCTGGCTGGCGCGCGTGTTATATGTGTTAT